TGCAGAAAAAAAAAAAACAAATTGAAATCGATAATTAAAATGGTCTGCCTATCATGTGTATGCTATATGAGGAAATAAAAATGGACAGATAAATTTTTCCAAGGCTGCCTTATATGTATAAAATATACTTTGAAAAAAATTTTTTTTTTTTTTTACTTTCAACATTTGCAATTAAATTTCAGTGAGGCAATTGTGAAAAGAAGTGGCGATTGGGAAACTTTATTGAACTCATCCACTTTACTTTCTGCCTTACTCTTCTTTGTATCTCTTTTTGTCGCAATTTATGCTCACATTAAGGCAGGTCATCCATCCAATGCATTTTATTTTTCATCCATCTGAATGTCAAAGATTCATTTCTCAGTGAATAAATACTTAAATATACAAATACAATGAAAAATCAATTATCATTCTTTTTTCCTGATATATGCATATTATCCGATGCATTTTTCAGCTTTTAACCAAAAAGCTTTAAATAAAAAGCAAAAAGGAAAACAGAGAAAGAGAGAGAAAGGGAGAGAGAGAGAGTATGAGAAAAAGAAGATAATATGCATTTTTCAGGAATTTTTGTTCATTCCAAATTTGAAATAGATTTAAACGAATCATCATTGTTCATATCACAGTTAAAATAGATTAAATTTCAGGAAAGAAACCATTGAAATTTTGAAAAAATTCCTACTAAATTTATCTTTTTTTTTTTTAAAAAAAAATTTCAGACAAATACTAGTCTGATAAGATATTTGTATCGTTTATGGATTAACAATCAAAATTGGATGATAGAGGAATATCGACCAAGTCGTGATCAACGTTACTGCCATAAAATGGAACAGCTTAGAAGACGATTAAATGGTAAAAATAATACATTTACTTGAAAGTAATTGATTTATTTGAAATGTTATACAAACATATCCATAACGATATCTTTTGCTACAACGTTGATAATTAATTTTAAACAAAAGCATATAATGAATTTGAAGTAATGACACTAATCTTCCAAATTGCATTTCTATTTTTCTCTCATTTTCTTTCCTCTCCTCATTTTTACGCATTTTTTTTTTCTTAAATTTCATTAAAACATTCATTCATCCATTTTATTCTATTTATAAATTTTTGTGAAAACCGTTTCCTCTGAACTTTATTCATTTTTTAGCCGATTGATTTGTTTGCCTTTGTTGGCCCCTCTCCATATGTAATGCCGTGCCCTTCTGAAATCATTTCCTCTCTTAAAAGATTAATCGCCGTAACGGCAATGATAAATGATATATGATAAAGTGATAAAAACAATAATACATATATTTCTCTCTTCGAACAAATATATATTCTGCA